TGAAGTACCGGATATATATATATATATATATATATATATATGGAAAGAATTTGGAAGTCGAGATGAATGCATATCACTATAGTGAATGTTTATGCCCCGTGTGGCACAATACAAAAAAGGGAGCTTTGGGAAGAGTTGAAACAAAGAAGATTAAATAGCAACAATGTTGTTGGTAGAATATATGCATTGTTGGTAGAATACATGCATACATACTTTATTTGTAGAATAGTGTGAGTCTATTTAGATAAGTCTCAAAGATCATCTACTTAGACTTTGGGATGTTATGGTGGGGAATCTCTTACAAGCGGTATGAGATAATCGTGACCAGTTGTAACACTTTGATAGCACCTTGATAGACATCCTCTAGTTGAGGATGGTTCAAGGAGAATCATCGAAGGGAGTTGGTCAATACACTGGAGGGAGTCGTCTCATTTCATGATTCGTAGGCTATTTTGAATTGAGGATGACAAGGAGATTTGCTAACACATACAGGTAGAATTAGATACATGCATTTGCTTGACTCCTTTGTATATTAATTGTAATTGTTTGGGTTGTTTGATTGAGGTCTAAAGTGAATTGAGGTAGTTGAGATGTATGTTGTCTTGCCGATGAATAATTGTGAATGCTTATGTGTAGCCTAAATATGATGTATGTATGTTAGTATTACTATTATATACTTTATATATATTGTACATAGTGGCAGATCTTCTTGGTGATAGTGGCTCCCCCAAAATTTTCTATATATATATATATATATTAATATTATATTTGTATAATTATTTTATGAAATGATTAGTGATGATAATACTTTTTTTTTGGATTTCATTATTATTATATATGTTTATTTTGAGTAGAGAAAATGAGAAATTTTTTTATTTTTTTAATTAGTAAAAAATTTAATTTATATATAAAAATTTAATTTGACACCCCTAAATTTTTTATCTAAGTTTCATCACTGATTGTACATGTACGATATGTATTCTTAGTCTTTTTGCATTGTTTTGTTTGTGTTTGGACTTTTTTCCATTTGTAGACTTAGATGTGGTACAAGAAGAGGAGTTTGATGAAGGCAAAGCTTAATGCTTCACTAGTATTGGAAACTTCTCTGATAATGTGACATCGAGGTGAAAAGTTTATTATTTTTATTAATAGTCAAAGTTAATTTTTGTGTAATGACATTTTTTTATGTTGAAAGTTTGTGTAAATAGGCAAGTTGTGTCTCGTTTTAGAATTTATACAGATATTTGGCTTACTTTATTCAAGAGTTTTATTTAGAGAGATGTGAACCCTTTTATTGTAAAACAATAATTAATTAAGAACTTCATTATACCTTTAAAATTTCAATTGTTTTATTAATTCTTTTTATTAAATAGTATTTGGAGTAGAAGAATGTTGTGCACATTAGGTGTGGTCAACCATAATATATATCAACTAAGTCTATATGGAATTAACTCGTCACTTTCCTTTCAAACATTGTGCACCCTGCCAACACTTAATTAAGAATTTCAACCCCCAACCTCATGACTTACTTAGTGGCCACTTTACAAATAGTATAGTTTGGTGAAACCTAGGTTAGTTTATAATTTGTATTTATCCGATTTCAAATTAAAACTCACCAGGAACAGATAGTAAGAATTTAAGGTTTTCATCACTTGTAAATAAGTTTTAGTGTCTTTACCTTTTAATATATTCCTTTATTTTCTGAGAAAAAAAACTAGAAAACTAAAATTACATATATGTAATATTTCAACTAACCTTATTCATGTAAGAACCCTCCCTTTTCCTATTTATTAAATGAGATAAACACATTCCATTTCTCTATCTTCATTGTAAACCCTAACCTCCACCAATCGTGTCACCGAACAATCGCTACAAATATTAATTAGAGTTTTCACCAAATGTTCTTAAGATTTATTTGAGCAAACTTTTTCAAAAATATTTTTAGAAGAGAAGAATGATAAATAAAATAAATTAATTTTTTTATAAGTTAAAATTAACTTATACATAAATTGATCTATAGAAATTTTATTTTACTGACTATTTTAAAAATGTGTTTTTAACTTATGAATCAACATTTATAAATACATTTGCTGGTTTAATTTTCTTCCTTATTTTTTTAAAAGTTTAGATTTACTAGTCGTGTTATCAATAACCTAATTAATTTGACATTCTTTATGCAGCTCTCCTCTGTCAGAACAGTAGTCATACAGCAAATGTTTCTTCCTCACATCTTCATATGCTTTTTGTTGTTGAGGGTTTAGTTGCCAATGTTTGTGATCATTCCACCATAAATGAGGAGAATAGCAGACATGTTTGTTTCGATTTAGGGTTTGGCAGCCATGAATGTTGAAACCTTGAAAATGAGCCGTGAAGGGTGCTTGCTTCCAGTCAATTCTCTTCCCATTAGACGCCCAAGGTTCACCATTCCATATGCTAGCCGTAACGCGCATTTGTTGTGATGGGAAACTCACTCCCACCTTGGAGTTGTTCTTGAATACTCTAATTGGTATTCCATCCACATAAAACCTGAAAATATTGATGAAGTACCGGAAAATTAAATTAAGGGATAGATTGACTATTTCAATTCTTGAATACGAAGCTATATTTTGTTCTTTACGACATAATGGCTTTGAGTAAAATTAAAAACTATTTTTATCTATAAATATTTAGTGTAAGTAATACATAAATATATTTGTAGTTATAATTATTTGATGTAGAAAAGACATAAAAAGTTGTTACTATACAACTTAGAAAATAAATGGATAAGTACGAGTATTTGTGTATTACTTATATTTATAAATCTACTCATTTATAACTCTTGCGCAATAGTAATCTAAGTATATCTAACAGGCCTAATTCAATTGAATGACCTAGGTGTATGAGTATTATAAACTTCACTAGTATAATGAGTTAGATTCCACGAATTAAAATAAAAAATAATAATAAAAAAAAAAAAAGCAATTCAGGTATGAGAAGTACATTAATTTCATAATCTGGAATTAATGATAAAAGGCTGTAAACTGTTGGTTAGAAATGATAATTTGTAATAATTTTAAACAACCCATTTAAAAAATTGAAAATGGAATCACATTTACCGAGATGAAAAGCAAATACACACAACTTTCTCCCCCATTTTGAATCAATAGACATTAACGGGGATGTTAGCCTCATATGTACTAGTGTTAAAAGAGACTCTGTGTAATTAAAAAATAAAAAATAAAAGGTGAGCAGTTAAGAATTAAAGAGTGACTAAGTAGTGGGTGGTTAAAAGAGAAGTATTAATAATTTATAGATTAATTTAAAAATTAATTACAAAGATAAACTTAAAAACAAATTGTGTACATCAAAAAACAGTATCACTTTTATTATATTTATAGATTTATACATTATAGATATATCAATCTAGAAAGTAATTAACTTATACTTGTATAAGGCTTTCTATATTATATAAATGTGATTTTTAATAATTATTTACATTGTCTTATTTGGTTTGGTTAAATTCTGCCAAAATTAAATGATCATAAAAATTAATTAAATGAATTGTTTTTAAATATTTAACATCTATGTATTGTATGAATTATATATATGTATATATATATATGGATATAAACTAATACTTTATGTATACAAGCGTTTGTTATATGTATTTAAATAATAAGAACTTTTATTATTGATGTATTTTGAGATAAAATTATCAAACAAAAAATTATTAAATAATATAATAGTTATTATAACATAAAAATGATATAAATTAATCTCTTCTTATCAACCATGAATAGATGGTCAAAATTAAAAATAATTAAAGGTAACATAGTCACTTAAAATAGTGGTATATATATTTATCCTTTAATTTTAACCATTCAAATATAATACAATAGTTTATATTTATTATTCTTATTTTTATGATAACAAAAATTGTCACTTGAAAAAGATTTATATTTCATAATACGCAAATTTTCTCACAATTTTAAAAACACTGGAAATGATTAATATACTCAAGGTTGTCTCAACTGTGAATAATAGTTATAAACTACTTTGATGAACGCAAACATACTGTGTCCGAAATGTTTCCTAATACATACACGTAAAGAAAAAGCTATTGTTTTTTCAATTAGCTGATCCACGACCATATTTATGAAAAGCAGATAGGAGTTTAAATCAGATAGATATTTACACCACTTCATAAAGACTATATTATTGAGATCTTTTATTCCAGAAGAGAAACAGCTTACACTATTTGATGTTGGTTCCAAAGGACTCCATAGATATGAAAATCAATTGATGGATCAAACCAGAGGCTATGCCTTTGCTCTCTTCCTCCTTCATCATTTGCAAAAACATTGGTTTGCAACGTATAAGGCTTTCCATTGTTTCCCAAGAATTCAAAGTCAATCTCATCATGTTTTGCTCCAATATGTTCATAGGCCGTTGAAGTAAGCTAAAATTAGAGTGAGAAAAACATGAGGGGAATAAAAATAAAAAATAAAAAATAAAAAAAAAAGACACTCAATTTAATTTTGCAGATGAAATTGAGGTATGTATAGAAGAGTATAGCTAGCCTTAAGAACTCAATCAAAGGTAAAATTCACACATAAAAGGCTGTCACAACTCCTCTAGAGTCCTTGTTGGGTATCTTTATTCTCATTTGAAAGAATCCAGAAGCATAGTTCAATTTTGATCCGAAGCCAGCACCTACAAGTTAATTAAACAAAAATTACGAAATTTTAAAACTAAACTATACCACTCTATTTTCATAGTATAAGCTACTAGACACATGTATTCGCTAAATTAACTCCAATATTATAGAATGATTTATGTAATTAATTTCTATACCTTATTTTTCTAGTATATATATGAATACTCACTTGTTCCCAGAGCACAACAGACATTACATTTGTACAAAATCATTATTAAAATCAATAGCATGTGATTTTTATGTACGAGCAAAATCACATGCAGATAAATAATTAGAGCGCACGGTTAAAGAGACTCTTCTTGTCTTTAATCAAACACGTAATTCTATATACATACAAACCTGAAGTTTTATCAATTGAGAGTTGAACTTCTCTACCATTTTGTAGAAAAAAGACGTGATGATTTCCCCATACAACCTTGTAGTTCTGGTGGAAGTTGACTTCAACAGCTTTGCTAGCATATATTATGGTCAGGGCGACGAAGAGAGTGACATAGCATAAGCTGCAGAAAAATTAATTATATGATCGGTTCAAAAATTACAAAATTAGCAAATAGAATTTAAAGACAAAAAGCACTATGATACTTAGATACGTGCATACGCACTTTTGTTGCTTGTGCAGATGAGCCATTGTGTCTAACAAAGTACAACTCTACCTGTTTCTTGTGATCATTGTAATTTATAGCAATGATTGTGGATTATATAGAGAGTGTGATCACATACAGGACAATGAATCTTAACTACATTTCCATGTCAAAGAAAAACTTTGGGTGAGGAAGAAGTAAAAGTGTAAAGGAGCACACAAGTTGTGGTTCTTAAGCATGTGAGTGTCCTATTTATTCCTTCAAGTTGGTGCATTTTCACGTTACTCTTGTGCCTTATGAAAGGCCCTTGCTCGAAACTATGTACCACCCCTATAAAGTTCAATATCTAGTGGCGTCTCCCTAGTGTTTACGTACACGTAAATAGATATGCTCTATCAATTTCTATGATCATATAGTGCATTATCCAGATTTCTTTCGCATTTTTCATGCAAAAGAATGAATTCACTTTGCTTATTAATTAAAAAAAAATATGTATATTATCCGGACTTTGGTTCTCCTTCTTGTATCTTCTACTTTAAAAAGAAAAAGAAAGAAAAATTCTAAGTATTAATTTCACTTGATACGAATATATAGTTTTTTTTTTTTACCAAACTTTAAGGATGCTACTATTAAATTGGATTTACATTCACCAGGAAAAAATAACTATTCCATGTAAATAAGACATTATTTTCTAATATTATTGTCTTTTAGTGAAGGATTTATACTCTAAAAATAAAGGTGGTCATCTTAATTGTTAATGAAAAATTAAAAATAATGTATTTATATATAGCAAATGGATTTATTAATTATCATCATAAACAATTCTGAAGGAACAAAATATAAGAAATAAATTTTATTTTTGACGTGCAAGGAGATCCTTAGTCGTACTGTGATCTAATTAATTTGCGAGAAAAAGTGATGAATCTCCTGTTTGCTTTCGCATGTTGCTCTATTAAATTACTTTCAGTATTTGACACATAATATGGTGAAAAGAATATCAACCTAAATTTTTCTCTAAAAAAAAAAAGAATATACACATAAATAATTCTAAGTATTTAAGAAACGTTGGACTAAAGATAATAAAATAAAATTTTAATTAATTAAAAGTAAATAAAGAGGAGGTGAAATGTATAAAACTAATTAAAAGTGTCAACTGGAACGTAATATTTAATTTAAAAAATAAAAGAAGTTTATTTAAGAAGCGCCATTTAAATTAGAATTTTTTATTTTTTGGACAGTGTCCAAATTAGAATTAGAGAGAAGGAAAACTTATGTTTTATCAGATAATCAAAAATATCCCTAATGATATCTTGATGTCTAATATTGGCCATTTAAAATATGAGATAAGTTTCACGTGATAGTCTTTCTTCATGTACAAAAAATGTGACTAAGTTTAGGCAAGGCAACATAACAAGACATTGAAATACATACGCCATTCTAATGAAGAAAACTCCAATTTTTTATACAAACCACCTCAAACATCTAACTTTTATCAAATGTATCACGCCAAGGCCAACCATCACATGAATTTTCTGTCGAAAACCTCGTTCCTCTGAATCCATAACCAAATAACGTTAACCCTAGCTACTATTCAAATCATAAGCAAAGCATGGTTTTCCTTACCTTTTAATGGTCCTTGGAATCGGATAGAAATAAAACAAATTTTGGGGCCTCGATAGATTTTATTCGGAGCCAGTAAAAGATACGATTCCTAATCTGAATAAAATAGTAAAAGTCAGCAAACGTAATGTGATAGTTAAATTATTAAAACTAGTTTATAGCTGAAACTTATATATAAATCATAAGTTGAAAGAGGTTTTTTTTTCTTTTTTCCTACAACTATAAGTTAAAAGAGTTAAAAATTGAAAATTTTTTGTAAGTTGACTAATTGAATCGAAAGGATTTAGATAAGCTAATCGATATGAGTAAAATGATATATATAAAAATGACATATTTAGTTATTTGAAAATCAAATCAAATAGATTAATGGGGATAAAAATGAAAAATAAAAGTTAAAAACATAAAATCAAAGTTATTATATATATATATATATATATATATATATATATATATATAACTTAAAATAAACTCCGATAACAAACAGGCTTATTTCAACTAAATTAAGCTAGTCAATATCTTGCTAGCACACTTATCTCACACATATTAGTATGTTGGGGAGAAATTAAATTCTCCCATTTTAGTTGTTTTATTGAAAAAAAAAATTGTTCAGTCAAAAACTTAAATTTGTAAATAGTTTTTTTTTTAAAACAATTGTTCTTATGAAACTTATGATTATTCTCGATAGTTTTTTTCTTAAAATGATTTCCTAAATAAAAATTGATTATTTTTGCTGTATTCAAATAAAATTAAACATCTTAAAATTATTTATTAACAAATTTATCCAAACAAATTTTTATTTTGGTTATAATTGATTATTTACATGATTGATTGTTGAAATATTAATCTAATTTTCATGAGATTTACCAATCTTGTCTATATCTCTAATATTTTCTTTTTCACTACTTCCGAACAAGATTGTTCCTTCATAAAGTTGGAAGTCTAGGAATATAGACCTTTTTATCGTCATGTGTTGTAAGAAACAACTACCCAAGTACCAATATGCATTCCTCCCTTTTCCATTAAGGATATCTACAATAAAAATTATTGAAATTTTGGTACTTAAATCTTTTTGGATCCTTATTTGTTAGTACTCTTGACCTTAGACTTTTTTTTCAACTTCATTTTAAGAGTACATATGTTGGTAAGACAACTATTTTTACTACAGACATTGCAAAAAATCTTAGGTTTGGAGAAAGATGTTTCTGATTCCTCTTTCTCAAATCTAATATCACTATTGTTAATAATGGTAACCTTCCATGCTTGAACAGCATGTTCATTTTAGAATATCCATCAACAAACTTGGCAAAATGTTTCCTAAGTTGTAGGTTTTTCAGTTTGTAATATTGTAACCTTGGGTTGTTCATTGGTTGTGGTGTTGTATTTGAGATTTTGGATCTCTCTAGCAGTGTATAACAGATTGTTCTTGAACTTTTCATTTTTTCAAAATAACAGTTTATATTTTTCTTTAATTTTTTTGTACTCAAGATTGATCATGTGAGATTTTGTTAGGAGACTCTCATATGACATTTATTCTTCATCAAAGTTGTCAAAAAAACTAGAATAAGAGTTAAAGTTAGATTCGAACTTTGGCATTGTTACATCTGTATCTTTCATAAGACAGATGTTTGTGACACCCTTACTACCCCCAACATATATAATGTAATAATAAAAAAACTTATAAATAAATTTTTCAATTTCGGTAAAAGGGTTCACATGAGAATCTTAAAAATTATCCTTCAATAACCACAATAACAAAAATGAAACGCAACAGTTTTCAAATTATTTTCACAAATAACATTTACAATAAAAACCTATGTTCTAAAAAAATCCTTTGCCCCGATGTCACAATATCAGAGCATCCCGATAATTCAACCGTTGGCATTCTAGATACCACTCGTAGCCAGATCTTCCTCACCTAAAATGTCTACAAATCGCACGGTGAGAAAAGAAAACATCTATATATATAGCACATAAGAAAACACAATATATTATCTCATTATAATTTAATATTCATAAATATTTCAACATATCGTATTTCAATCAATCATGCATTGTCATCACGTCATAATTCTCAATCACACCAATCATCACAAATCTTGCACTTCACACTATGCCAAGGTCACGCTACCCATTTAACAATCTCGGGCCGTGCTCACCCCTGATATAACACTGTGCCAAGGTCACGTTATCCCTATCCTAGGGCCGTGCTCACCCCTGACATGTTAACCAAGGTCACGATACCCACGTAACAATCCAGAGCCGTGCTCACCCCTGATATAACACTGTGCCAAGGTCACGTTACCCCTAACCTAGGGCCGTGCTCACCCCTGACATGTTAACCAAGGTCACGATACTCATGTAACAATCTCGGGCCGTGCTCACCCCTGGTCATAGGTGTGAAGAACCACAACCACATCTCATTCACATTCCACACAACATCTCATAGTTCAATTCCATACACATATCAGATAAGTCCAAAATAATGGGTTTCATACATATCAAGCAATTCACATTTAAATCATCAATTTTTATCAAATAATATAACAATGATATTCATAAATTAATATAATAATCAATAGAATTAGCAATTTAATATAATTTCAGCATAAACAGTAAAACCCCCCAATTGTTCCAAAACCTAGCTCACAGGCACTTTTCTACAATTTCGTTCTCTCTCCCGGATCATCATTCTTACAATTTAAATACATATTTCTAATCCTCAACACATACGGAATCTAATGGTATAATTAATTCCTCAAACAGAAATAATCCAATTTTTCCAAAACCTAACCTACAGGCACTTTTCTATAATTTCGTTCTCTCTCCTAGAGCATCATTTTTACAAACAAATCATATATTTGTTGTCCTAAATATATATAGAATCAAATAATGTCAATAATTCTTCAAACAGAAATAATTCTAAAATTACTCATAATCCTAAAGGGTTTTTCCTCTACCCAATTCCCTCATGTAACTCTATATATAAATAATTCCCTTTTCCCCCATACCTGGATATGAAGAAGCTGAATCTAGATATGTAGAAGCTGAATCTACACTAGATCTGGTTGATCTCCCTCGCTGGGTTCCCCTCGGTCTGAAGCAAAAAGTAGAGGAAAGAAGAGAGAGAGCAGAAGAAAAGAAATCAGAAATGAGAGGTGTGCTTTTTGGGAGTGGCAAACAGCTCTATTTATAGGCTTTTTACGCCGGAACGGCCCGTTCCAAACCCGGAACGGCCCGTTCCGGACCCTTAAAACATGGCTAAAAATCACATCTAGAGCGGCCCGTTCCAAAACCAGAACGGCCCGTTCTGGTGTGCATTAATTACTCACAACGGTCATAATTTTAAGAACGCCCCGTTCCAAGCCCGTTCCCATTTAGGGTTAAAGGCAAAATTAATAGTCCGGAACGGCCCGTTCCAACTTGAGAACGGCCCGTTCTGGACTACTAACTCACACTTTCACAGGTAGTTTGGAACGGCCCGTTCCAATTCCGGAACAGCTCGTTCCAAGCTACTAAATCACATACGTTTTGGTAGTTTGGAATGACCCATTCCAATTTCGGAACAGTCCGTTC